TTGCCAAATGTTGGGAAATAACATAGAAAGAGACTTTGACACTTTGGCTGCAGTACCACGGCCAGTTCCAGTTACTGTACCAGCGGCAGTACCCGTACCAGTAGGATAAGTAATATATCTCCGAGTAATATCTGACTACTGCTGAACGATTTTTGATCACAACTTCAAATGATCGCCATCCACCACATTCCCTCACTTTATACTCGTGATTTGCATCAGCGATTTCAACGTAAAGCTGTCGATAATTACTGCAGCAAAGAAAATTGCATAATATGTGATAGAAGCCAAAATGACAATAAATAGCTGAAAAATCAGAACTGGTTGGACGCTGAATTTTTATAGTGGAGCATTCTCGATGAAAGTATTCGCTTTTTACCTAATTCTTGCACATCAAATGTTGGACAAATTTACATCATTTTGGACACTTACATARTATTAAAATCAATTTTACAAAACCCTTTAAAGTGCGCCATTTTTTTTGGGTGCAAAGTACTTACTTGCAATAATATCCCAGATCAAATGGTTCGAATTTGATGACTATGAAGTCGATATCACTTTTGCCTTTACCAATTGTCCATGAACAGTTTGACGGCCTGCTCAAGTAGGTGGAATCAATTGAGATCTCCCCACTGTCTCCATCGCGATAGATATCACACGCTGCAGACCAATTAATTTAAGTCACTTTAATTCAACAAATAATTTAAAAATAAATAATACTCACTGTACATGTGTTTGCACTACCTAATAACTAGTGCGCCTGCAGCTCGAAAAATCTCCCAAAAACTCATCGAAGTTTGAATTAGCCAGTCAAAATGATTCAACATTTTTTTCAATGCATTACTGATCAAAATCAATYTATAAACTGGTAATGGAACTAGCAATTCTCCGTACGAACGACATCAACTGATGAAAGATGAGGTAAGTTGAAGATCGTCTAACCTTATCCCCAAAAACAAGAAAAATGGAGGAAAATTTGATCAAAAAATTAAAAATCAAAATTATCCATAAACATCCTCGTACTTTGCTGAATGGACAATATTTGAATACAAATTCTTATATCTTTATTAGCGWGCTGTATGAAGAATCAAAGTACACAAGTTTCAACAACTRTTCGAAGCCGCAATTCGTAATGTAATGTGGAAAAAAGAAACCAAATTATGAAACAAGATGTCATTCCTTGAAACTCAATCCAATTGAGTTAATGTGCTTCCTTAGATTATACGTGTTGGATTTTGTTCAGTGTGTACAATCCTAGACTTTTTACGCGGAACATTGAAACGTAGATATACACGTAGAGTATCCAGCTCAGAAAACGTGTAATAATGCGGTAAGTCTAGCGAATTTATCATTTCTCGTCTCCAAATACGTATACTCCATTGATAATCATTTATCTGAGATATGTATTTCATATTCCATTGCCTTAATGCACGTAATATTTAGATAAAATCGAATAACAGACAAGGTATACTTACTCGTTGAAAAATAATGGTATGTATATGGTCCTGTTCCAGCTGCAGTGTAGCCGCGAATCGACACACGATATCGGTTCAAAGGTGAAAGGCCCGTTAAGATGATTGATGTGTCGTTGGTTTTTATTTCATTTCCATATCTGCCAGTGTTACGATTGTAGACCTGAACTATGTATCCAAGAAGTACACCACGGGCATCCTTTCTGGRGATTGGTTTCCAGCCAATAACTGCTGTATTTGATGTGATATCAGTGGAATTAACTCCTTGAGGGCTAATCCTTGGATCTAAGGAACAAAGATGAGATGAGATTACATAAAGACCGATAAATAATAATAATAAACATTGAGAAAACTGAAAGCAACTAAAAAAAAATCAAGACACGACAATATCTCTTAAATATGTTTTCTTATGTAGGAAAAAAAAGGAAAAAGATAAAGATAACGAAAACAAATACGGAAAAATCAAGAAAATATAATCGAGATTGTCTAAAAGAAACAAGAAAAACTGTAGGGAAGTAAGTATAAAGTGGAAGAAGAGAACACAAAATGAAAAGACAAGAAATGAAGAAGAAGAGGAGAACAACAACAGCAGCAGCAACAAGGAGAACGAGGAGAACAAAGGAACAAGAAGAACGTGAAGAACAAGAGGGACAAGAAAAACAAGAAGAACAAGACCAAGAAGAGCAAGGAGACCAAGGAGAACAAGAACAAGAACCACAAAAACAACAGCAATAAAAAAAAACAAGAAAAAACAAGAAGAAGAACTCAGAACATGGAGAAGAAAGACAAGTAGAAATAGCACCATTTCTCTAGGGACACTTCAAGAACAACAATTCCCATCGTGATTTACGCCACGAACTKGCGTGGCTGCACATTAACCGGGATATTTAACATATATGTGATAATGAGTAACTGTTCGTCAAAATTAATAACAAATGCTATTTTTGTGCATTTGTCAAATGATTTTTATTGACTTTTCTATGAATGTTGTTGGTGACTTTGACATGTTATTAAACAAACAAAACAATTTTGTTGACATGTCGTCACTGTCGTCATGTTCGTCAGAGAAGATCGTGTTCGGATACTGGGATATATGTACTTTGCTCTTATTAGCTGTTTACTTTGTTTGCATTCTAGCGAGTGCGCGATTTGGCTAAAAAACCGGCACAAATTCAACGCGTAAACAAAAACAAAGTAACGGTAGACGAAAGCTTGCATCGAAATAACACTGAGACACGCGTCTTCTAATTTAAAACTTCCTTTATCTTGGACTCAAATGTTTTGAAAATGGAGTACTAAGTATTTTTTCATAAAATACAGTATACCATACCGAGAAAAGCCTAAAATATAACAAGTTCCATGAAAAATTAATCTTGACATATTCGCACACCTGGCACTAATTATAGAACTCTTGTCATCTGTGTTGGACATAAATGGATTATAGAAACTTACATGATTCACGAGTTGTTACATTCGACTTTGAACTCTGGTATGCCGTACAAGTACCGTTATTTCYCTTTCTTARRAGGGCCAAGACGTGCACGTCATAGTTAGTGTACGCCATCAGCCCATTAAAAGTTGCAGATGTCAAATAGCTGTGTCCAAATTTGAAATGAGTTTTGTTGGCCCAATATTGTGTAGAACTGCAGAATACCAAAATTCCAAAGATATTGTAGTCTGGAAAAGTAATCCGATTCCAACTAACAGTCAAGCTATCATAGCTGTTGCTCCATAAAGATAATGTCCAATTTTTTAGTGTAGACACTGTAACAAATACAGGTAAATATCAGTTTCCCTTCTATCTCTTTCCATCTCCCTCTCTGTACCTCTATTTCTCTCCCATCCCACTCCATATCTATTCTTGACTTTGATGAAAATGAGCGCCTATGCCTTAAGCAACTGTGATAACATGTTGTGTAGATGCAGAAAGTGATTACCACTCTCGTGACACTTGACAATCCCTACACACTTTGGTGCCGACTACATCTATATCTGTGATACTTGTAGAATATTTCGCTGTAGAATATCACCAATTTCTCCTTAACTTTTCTTTTTTATAAGCCATCAACTGCCCTTTAGCGCGCCTTTGTGTTTATGAATGCATTTTTGCGAAAATAACTGATACTTCTTTTTACCTGGTTCACTGTAGGAAAAAAACCGAACTCGCATTCCCTTGCCATGTGGTCTGTTGATAATTAGACGAGTTGAAGAAGACGAAAAGAACTGGAGTTGGCTTGACAAACTCAGTACTGCTGTAGCTCCATGATATAAGCTATTTCGGTAAACTTTGCTTGATTCGTTTATGTAAACACTGCTGACACTGAAGAAGCGATGGAAGATATAACATTAGTATAGAGCGAAGTAAACTACGAACACTAAAACCATGAATAGAATACTAACCAAATACTGATACGAAGTATAAAATAATTTAAAAGAATTTGCTTAATTAAGTAAAATTTAGAATGATGTTATTCTTGCACTTATGTTAATCTACATCACTCCATATATAATCTGGGCGAAATGCTTTCAAGACATTCTATCTATATTATGACTCTTTAGAACGGAGTGCATCGGTCATCATAAAGTAAACCATTAATATATATATTGTCTAGCTTAGTGCAACACTTGAATGGGATGTTCACAAATCACACCCACGCAACCACAAACAAACAAACAAACAAACAAACAACAAGAACTAAACGAATTAAAGATCTTGCACATAAAAATGAAAAATAATATTAAATGTAAAAAATGTAATTTTATTATTTTTTATTGCAGTTCTTTATATCTGATATAGAACTGATTAATAAAACATCAGTGCATTATCGGGGTATAAAGGGCCCATCATGTGACCCAATAGTTACATGCTCTGAGCATGRCATTGGACTAATAGCTCATAAAATATTCATGAGTTCAAAAACGTATCTTATGGTGTTGTATAGCATCGTGYTGTGCTACATGGTACATTGTTTCATGATTAAGAAATATAAAACGGAGCGTTTGTCTGTGCCCTCTATTATAAACACGGTGGGATTTCGAAAAACACGAGAGAATTAAGCTTAGGAACACGAGCGTAGCGAGTGTTTCTCTTTCTTCTCGAGTGTTTTTCAACTCCCAATGTGTTTATATCAGAGGACAGAGACACAAGCGGCCGTTTTATATTTCTTTTATAAAATTTTTCGAGCGAAAAGACAATTTTGACGGTAAGCCGTGTCTCTGTTCTTTGATATAAACACGGTCGTCACCCAATCAGAGCGCGCGTTATATATCAAAAGTTTTATAATCGCATGATATTGTATGATATACAGCCTTTTGCAAAAAATATGAGAATTGTTGAAATATCTAAATATCATAATATCAAGTGCATGATAGGTAATCCCGGGCGATGCCCTTAGTCCCTTGTCTTTTTAGTTTAGTTTTTTTTGGCGACAGACTTATCCGTAGTTCTGAACATTTTCTCGATGTCGACAATGAATTATTCTAGCAAACCCGCGTGTTCCGGACAATATATGGATATGGATATTATGATATTTAGATATTTAGACAATTCTCATAATTTTTGCAAAAGGCTGTATATCAAAGTGATTGTATGTTATGTTATGGTGTGGTGTTGCATGGTATCGTGATATGCTACATCAATACATTTTTTATTATCACATGGTTTTGTGTGACATAGAAAAGTGGTTGTATGGTATGTTATGGCCTATTGTATGGCATCGTAATGCGGTACATGGTATTGTTTTTTTTATATCATAGCTAAATTATAACACGCGAGCTGATTGGCGGATTTCATGAGAAAACCTATGGTTTATTACGCCCATAAACCAGCCTGCTGTCTTAATTGAAAGACTTTTGAGTCAAAATGGCGGAAGCCGGCTAAAATTTTCCAAATTTTGACATTTCTTTTGAAATCTATAACGAGAGTGATGACGAGGTAGAAGTTTTTTTTTT